TAGGGTTTAGGGTTTAGGGTTTAGGGTTTAGGGGTTTAGGGTGTAGGGTTCGGGGTTTAGGGTTTAGGGTTTGGGGACTAGCCAGATGCTTATGATCTCGTAATCTCCCAAGCCCGGCAACCTTCAGCCACCTCTCAACTTGCAGCTTTGTGCAGCTCTGTCAAGTCCTCACCGACGCGCTATAGAAGAAGGAACCCCAAAGACAAATACAAACCAGTGTGAAGTTCATTCAAGCAGCAAATAAGCCCTAAACCACTGAAAGGCACCGTTTAGAGGAAATTAGAACCCCAAAGCCTCAACCCTAAGCCCTAAATGCTAGGCCCGAAACCCAAACCCCTAAGCCCTAAACCCAAAGCCCGGAACAATAAACCTTAAGCCCTGAGCCCTAAAACCCCGAAGCCCGAAACCCGAAAGAGCCTCCAGCACTCCAGCTCCAGTTCACCACCCCGGTCTTCCGAGGACCGCCGCAACGACGAGATAGCTGCGGTCAACCTAAGCTCAGAGGGTGTTGGGGTGAGGAGGTCTAGGTTTAGGGTTTCGGGTTTAGGGTGTCGGGCTTAAGGGTTTAGAGTCCGTTGCTTTTGTTGAAGGGTTTATTGTTTAGGGGTTAGGATTTAGGTTTTAGGGGGTTAGGGGTCGGGGTTTAAGGTTTTAGGGTTAAGGGTTAGGGCAAGGGTATAGGGGTGACTAATTATACGGTTTGTTCATTGAGAGGGCCTTCATACTCAGAATAGTTCTTCTTGCATTGCGTGGCAGGATGCGGTTTCTGAGCATAGTGTAGATGTAACAGGACTAGCCAGGTATATTATAAGTACCCAGGCCCCTTGAGAGTAAGCTTCGAGAAGGTCTGGCTCCGCAATTGTTCTAGACGGCTCCGCACAGGCTCTACGCGGTCTTGACAGGGGCCCTGTTTTGGGTTTGCAGTAATCAGACAACGACTACCATCTGCTTCTGCCAACGAGACTCGACTGCTATTGCGGCCGCTACTGCTGCTCGCAACATCAAACCACCACCACCATCACCACCACCGCCACCACGACCACCACCACGACCAC